GAAATAATTTGAATATATCAACAAAGTTGAAATGGTAAATTGGCCACCGTTACGGTTATAAAAGCTGACGTTTCGAGCGTTAGCCCTTCGTCGGAGCGTTAGCCCTTCGCTCCGACGAAGGGCTAACGCTCGAAACGTCAGCTTTTACAACCGTAACGGTGGCCAATTTACCATTTCAACTTTGTTGATATATTCAAATTATTTCATTACCCCCCACCGACGCAGCGCCAAACAGTTTCTTTAGAAACTATCAGCCTTTATTCCATCCATGGACTTTGGGAGGGGCATTCTGGTTTTACTCTTAACAACCATCTCAAAGGTCTTTTTAATGTTCAGTTTCACCTGGCTATCATCAGCCCATCGTTTGATGTTTGCTAGTTCCTGATGTGATGAATCAGTGTGATCGAAGCCAATTGTCACTGGCACACTGGCTGTGATACCATCAGCATATTTGATCCGTAGGGTTTGGAGGATTACAACTTTGATGTCATTAACCGTGATAGAGAACAATAAGGGTCCAAGGTGAGTCTCCTGGGGGAACCCCCATTCCATCAACCACTTCTCTCTGTTGGCGATCATACAAGAAGCTCATTATCCAGTTCGTAATGTATGGGTTAATGTCGAACGACATTATCTTTTGCACAGAACGCGATCGGAGACTGAGTCAAAAGCCTTGCTAAAATCAAATGAAAAGGCTCTGACAAAATCCGCATCCCTGTCAAGTTGCCCAAGCCAAAATGTTGGCACTTGACGAGGGCCATAGTTGTATTGTGTCCCTTCTTATAAGTGATTTGGTCAGGTCCACTCGCTGACTAAAGGATAGGAGATAGTTCTTGTTTGCAGACAAGACACTCAAAATATTCTCATTATGATGTTGGTTAATGAGATTGGTCTAAGTTGATTGCATTCAGTCAGAGGAGATTCGTTAGGGACGGGCGGGATATTTGCTAGTTTCCAAAAGAATGGAACAGTTTGATGCTTGAGTAACAATTGAAATTTTGGTGGCCACTGGTGAAAGATAGTAAGAGTAATCGCGCTAAAGCCAGTGGGGAAAATCATCAGGCCCCAAAGCGATTCGATTCTGATGTGTCAGTAAGTTTCTTACATCACATTCATTCACAGTTGGGAGACGGGAGACGAGTAGGCTACTCAAGGCAAATTTTTTTAAAGAAGAATAGTCTCCTTGGTTTGTTCAAAAGTAATGATAATTTTTGGTGTGTTTGCCTAATTCGTTTTCATTTTCTTAGTTTAGTATCATCTTTATGTCGAAAAGAATAAACATCAGAGTCTTCTAAATTTAATTAGTATAAATTCAGAGCTGAGCAAAGAGTTTCCAGCAATCTGATTGGTCGACCGGTTCCTTCTATGACGCTTTATTATATGACTGTGTCTCATAAGGACCGGGAACTACCGAATTCGCGAATTTGATTGGCTGAAATCAATATTGAGGGCGGTCTAGATTTTCCCATCTAGACCGGCATCTAGACCGGTCTAGAAAAAAAGGTACAAAGAATATAAAAAATTGGCATATAAGACACAGCCATATAATAAACATCTTATTAAGCGAGCTAGGTCGGTCTGTATGGGAGAATCTTGACCTCGGTCGCTGGTACAGACCGAACGGAGTGAGGTCTGTACTAGCGACCTCGGTCAAGATTCTCCCATACAGACCTCCCGCTCGGTTAATAAGAACTAAATATAAACCGCTCCATGCGGTTTATATAAATTGTTAAAATAAAATGTTAATAAATGTTACTAAAATGTTATGATTTTCGAAATTTCTCTGTTGTTCAGTCCTGAAATTATACTAAAACCATTATTCGCCTCGGGTTCGGTGATTATTGTCGAAGAATCTCCTCGACTTCGTCTCAGGCGTCCCATTTTACGTCTGTTTTCCTTTTACAACTTGTCTTTATACATTGTTCGTCCGCAAGTGCTGTGTTAATTCGATCTCCCAACTTCTGTGTTTTATTTATCTCTAGTTGGAATCTGCAAGGTTTTTTTTTTCTCTTTTTTTCTATTAACATTGCTTTGCCTTATTTATTATTCTTCTTCCATAACTTGTTATTTTAATGACGTTCTTGTTTTGCCCCGCCGCGACTAGCTTCTTAGCTATTTGCGGGGCAAACCATTTTAATTATGTATTTTTGTAATAAGAATTTTCAATTATGTATGTACGTATATCGGGGATTATTCGACGATATTCGCCTCGCCTTCGGCGAATAATTGTTAAATACGAACCGAAAAAAATACATGAATGCAACCATTGACCAGATCAATGGTTTTCGATTAACCTGTCCAGGCATAGTTAGAACAGGACACCTGAAACGGGTTTTGATAACTACCTTTCCTTGGTTTAAAGATTTATTGTCCAGCTTTTACGCCACTTAAGTTTCTAGCTTTAAAAATTCCAAAACTCAAGCCGCTGAACAGAATCGATTTTTATGGTAAACGAGAGCAGAAGTAAGTTGATACTGTGTAAATTTAAATTTTGATCGTAAGTTGTCCATGCGAGGAATTAAAAAATATATGAATAACAAAAGATCTGGCGGGAAATCCATGAAAGCCCTTTGTTTTACGTGAGCCAATTGAGAGAAAAAGCCATTGTAGTGTTATCGTGATTGACAGATCATGACTTGTCTGTATGAAGTACTCGGAGCTAGGGTAACTTCACTCTGGGCTTGCATTTCTACATGCTCTGGAAAGACTTGTGGCAGACTGCCACTGCGATCGTTACACCTCAGACTGAGCTCATAAAACGCTACTAGACGTATAATCTCTCCGAAATTTTATCGTGCTTCGGTACGGCTACCCTAGAGTCGCAGAAATGGGAGTCGGAACTCGTTCGTCGGCGAAGAAGAGTAGAGGTAATTTGGCATGTTACAGAACGCGTGCTTCGAACGCGAGATGTTTATGCATTCCTTTACAAGCTTGATAGCAATTTGTTTATGTCGTGGTGTTTTTATTTTAGAGGAGAAAGAGTTGGAGGCCAAAAAGGTGGATAAAATTGATGCAGAAACGCAAACTGACCCAGAGATAACTGGTGTAGACGCGGACGATTTCGAGGAAGACGATGGCGAAGGCGAAGAATCGGGCTCGGAGAGTAGCGAAGAAGAGGACGATGAAATGGAAACAGAAGAAGACAGTCAATCCAAGAGTGTCGACCGGGGAACGTCCTCGAAACCAGTGCGCCGAAAAATAATCGAGCTGAAGTATTATTTTGGGGAAGATTTGCCAGATGCTGAGCTAACGAAACGTGAGTTTGGTATTGATAATTTTAGACCAAGCACATGGTCGGCTCGCATAAATTAGCAATAAGATTTTCGAGTTTTAGTCCAAATTATTCTCGTATTTCCTCATTAATAGCCACTCTAGAGGAAAGAATTTGAACATCGTGACCCATCTAATTGTTGCATAGGGCAAATGACAAAATTTGAGGGCAAAATAACTCAATTATTGTGTGAGTCTGTGATCTGGGAATTCAAGCTCATTTATATGCGTGTTCTCAATAATTGCATACAGTACAGACAGGGCAGGACTAAATCTTTGCCACTAATCTCTCATGATTTATGGTGTGAAATATTTCTTCCGTAACTAAAGGTGTTAGGACCAAGTCTCAGTGTGGCACTGTCGTGATTCTTAAAACTTTCATCTCAAACTGGAACATTTCCTGAAACCTGTACTGCGCTCTCGATGCGTTTCGAGTATTTACATATTTTATGCATGTATTGGTTTACACTTACAGCCAAGCGAATGAAACCAGCGAGTTGGAAAGAAAACTGAAGGAACAATCACACATTATTCTATTATTAGTCGGCCTCTTTTTCCATCATAAACGGAGCGCCAGCGTTTCGAAACGCTTTCATGAGTACATTTTCAATTTTGCAACATTTTCGCCGCGAATCGCGTGATATTTGAGAAAACCATTGAACTGTCAGCGGGGTGACGCTCAAATGTCTTCCTTTCCTGCGATGAATATGTGACCTTGTTAATCGGTGCAGTCGGAGTTTTACAGATATAGGACTGAGTTTAAGCATAATCGTGACTGATGCGCAGTTGCTCAGTGTAAATTTATGTTTTTTTAGGTTCATATCCTAGAGGAGATTTCGCGAATTCAAACTTACATGCGCTTTAGTGAGGAAAATAGACCTAAGATAAAGTAGTTTCTGTCTCAAAAATTGTGAAAAAAAAATGTTGAAATTCCAGGACGAAAATGTTTTCTTTCTTTGGTGTATGAAATTTTTGGAACGGTGTGGTAGTGGTGGTGAAAGAGCATCTTTTCTCTGATGTCCTTGATGGGCATGATGATAAATGTGAATGTAACAAAAAAAGAGTCAACAATTTTTTTCTGTGAAAGAGACGACTCTGTGTGAAAAAATTGAGACCACTAGTTGGTGTTGTAGGCAGATGAAGACTGGAAATAAAAATTTGGTAAAAGTCTAGTTGGCCAACATACCACTGCTTTCAGTTGAAACCTCGATTGAAAAATCTGATTACTTTCAGTCATTATGATAGATTTTGACTTCCCATATTTTAAGTACAGGCTGTTGGTAATTTTTAATTAGCAACATCCCAAAGCCTGAAAGGAAAACTTGCCACAGAGATAAATTTTTTAAATTTGTATTTCTTTTTACTTAATGCAATACTTTAGAACTTCACAGCTCAACAAATCACTTAAAGTTGCACAGTTTCTCTAAAATAACTCAAGATGTAACTGATGCTGAACAAAGGAACTTATGCATATGTATTCTAATAGTCCAGACGTCATAATTTTTTTTTTCCTGATTTCTCAGTTGCTGAAGCTGAGGTCATTGTTCCTCCTGGACTTGAAGTGAAAGAATCTAATATTCCAAAGGCTGGAAGGGGTGTGTTTGCAAAGTGTGTGATCCCCAAACATGACTTTTTTGGACCATTTGTGGGCAAAAAGGTGACTGCTGAGGAGGCTAATAACTACAAAGACTCACCTTATGTCTGGGAGGTAAGATTTCAAGGCTTTAATCCTTGAACTACCAGAAGTGATTAACATGTAAATTCTCCCTATAATATCCATACATTATCCAGCAAACAGGTAATGAGAATACTCAAACTTATCAGGTGGAAGTTGTGATCCTGATCTAGCACCAATTTCTCATAACAAATTTAGAAGGAAATGTGTGACAGCTAGCAGGGAGAAATAACGATTAGATCTTGTGAGCTGAAGGTTTAAATGTTCTCTGTTTATTAACAAACATTTGCTTAATTTGAGGCAAAGTGAACATTTTTTGAATGATCTTGAGACAAAGTCCTGGGGACCATTCCACACTTTATGCTATAGAGGTTATATTATATGATTAAGGAGAATAACTCTCAAAAAAGAAACGACAACTTTGAGTTTAAATTTACAAGACATGTTTTGACATTCTCATGTCATCTTCAGTTGCAAATGAGCATTTAACGGTTGTACATTTGAATTTATATTAAGGCACGTTACAAACTACGTGTCAGGGCTTACGGATTAAGGAGAACTAATTTACTATAATCTTAAATAATCTATTCTCATGGTTAATTTACAAGAAAATGTGTAGCAGTGAGAGGAGAGAATTTAAAATCAGGCCTAGTGAGTGTAAGGGTAAAGGTAAAAGGAGGAACTAATTGATTGTGTGTTAGGCAAAGAGTTCAAAGTGACATCTGATGGATTACTGGATTCTCCTTACAAATTGTCTTCTTTTTCCTCATCAAATACAGAAGTTACATCAGAAGTCGTAGCTTCCTTTCAGACTTCCTAAATTCTGTGATGTTTTTGTTTTTTAGGTGAGAGATGATTATGGAAAACTGATGCACTTGGTTGATGGAAGAGATGCATTTCAGTCCAACTGGCTGCGCTACGTCAACTGTGCCAGGATTATAGCAGAACAAAACATCCGCGCTGTTCAGTATGATGGAAATATTTATTATATGGCCACCAAGCAGATTGAGATTGGAGATGAGTTGCTAACATTTTATGGCGAAAAATTTGCCAAGATTCTAGGGATAAAACCTCCAAAGAAAGGAGCATCAAAAAGTAAAGGTGAGGATCCGGTGGCTTTCCCACTCATTTTCTCTTCCACTTTCTCTTTCACTGTTCATATGCTAATTCTCTTTCTTAGTCTTGCAGGAGAGTTTTGAAGTTTAGTGCCTCCTAGCTAGTTTGATCTATGCTGTAGTTAGAATTGGTGATACAAATTTCAAAGATGGCAAATGATCCCTAGTCCAAATCTTAATCCAAAAAGCCAACCTCTTTTACATTTTGACGATACTTCTGACTGTTACCTTTTAAGGCTGGTTTCCACAAGTAACAAGGTTAAAGTTGTGATCAGAAGCTCAGTGAGATACTGTGTTTTGGAAAATAAAATTAAGGCATTAGGAAGCAGAATAAGATAGCATTTATGTGTCTGTGGCTTATGTTCCTTTGAACATTTTGGGTCCTAGACATCATAATATCTGTGGCGGGCCCAAACAGCTGGTTTTTCCACTTCTGCTTGTGGTTTTAACAATATAGCTTTCACTTGGTCTTAGTTCTTGGAGTTGAAAGAAGAAATTGGAATATTCTGCTTCTTCCTGATAACAATTCAACCTCCATGGCTGGGGAAATTACAGAGAAAATCAGACTTGACCATAGGCAGTTACTGTTACTAGTAGTTTTACAAAATGCATTTTATTATCCTCATTCTCCTCCTTCAGATCCAGAACCTTCTGGTGAGAGCTTTGCTTGCAAGAATTGTGGTAAAATGTACAGCAACCCTGCATCCCTCATCGGCCATCTGAAGTACAAGTGTAACACAGGTGTGATCATTACCTTGGGGTTTTGATACTGGCAGGTACAAAAAGCAGGTCACAGCTCGCAGGTCACAGGTCGCAATTGTATATTATATGTTCATGTATATTATATGTTCATGTATATTATATATTCCTGTATGTTATATGTTCATTTCTGATGACCGGAAATGGAACACTATAATGCAACGCCTTTACTCTATCCGGTGTATAACTCTTTAATTGTGACCTGTTAATTGTGACCTGTGACCTGCTTTTCGTACCTGCTGGTTTTGATGCATATTCATTCTTTAGTTAACTGCTACTTTTTAAGAAAGTTCAATTCAATGAAAGACTGGCATTTAACCCTTTGATGCCGAGGAGTGACAAGCAGCTAATTTCTCCTCACAATATCACTCCTGAATTGCACATTGAGGTCACAAGTATAGAGGAAATGATCACCTAAACAAGCAGTTTGCTATCTTAAAATCAACAGTTTAAATCAGAAACCTTAAGTGTGAGAGAAATCTTAGTTTTAGCTTAGGATTGCCGGATTGAATTTGTTTGCACAAGTCTTGTGCCCTATGCTTTAGACTTGAAAACTCTGCATTGTCCAGCCAGTAGGTGATAAGAAAAGAAAAACTCGTCAGTTAGAGCATGTTCCATTGATATAGTATCAGCTTCTCTTGACTAATTTTCAAGAAAATGTAGCAAGAGGGGAGATTCACAAATCAGAACTCAATGGACATAAAAGGTTAAATATAGGTGGTTTGCATCTATTTACTTACACTGTATGTCTAAAGACTATAGAGCATTGATCATATTGAGTGAGTTACTGACCTAATTTTCATTAAAAATCAGGACAACAGAGGAGCATTTTTGTCCCCCAGCCTGTTGGTCCACGGGCTTCAATTCCCAAGATCAAGGTCACAGAAGAATATGCGCGTCAACAAAATGAGAAGTTGAAGAAGTTCAAATGCGACGAATGTGGGAAGGCATTCATTCGCAACTACACACTGCAGTGCCATAAGCTTATTCACACTGGAGTGAAAGAGCACAAATGCGCAGAGTGCGGGAAGGAATTCACTCTGCTCAAACACCTGCAGCGGCACCAGCTGGTTCACACTGGAGAGAAACCATACAAGTGTCATCTCTGTGGTCGTGCGTTCTCACAGCAGGGAAGTCTTCAAGCCCATAGCCGAACACACACTGGAGTGAAGCCATATTCTTGCAAGATCTGCGGGCGTGCATTTGCCTTGCAGTCACCTCTGTTGTCCCACATGAGGACACACAGCCAGGAGAAGGCCTTCAAATGTAAGACGTGTGGAAAGGCATTCACGCACAGGAACACATTGTCCAGGCATGAGTTAATCCACACTGGCATACGCCCTTTCAAGTGTGATAAGTGCGGTAAAACCTTCACACAGACCAATGACCTGAAGCGCCATAGCCGTATCCACACTGGATTACGCCCTTACAAGTGTCACATTTGTGGCAAGGATTTCACGGTGGAGTTCACCTTAGTGTGTCATGTGCGCACTCACACTGGGAGTCGGCCATACAAGTGCGACTATTGCGACAAGACATTCACCCAGCCTGGTGCCCGTTTGAAGCACGTGAGGAAGAATCATCCTGATAAGTCAGCACCTGTGAAGGCAAGTGTTGCAACAATTATTTAATGTAATTATAGGGCTCAAAATAATGGCCTATCAACAGACAATGTCTGTTCAAATAAAGGTTTTTTACATGGGCGGCGAGACATTTTGTCTAGTTGTTTCAAGTGTAAAGAAGAATTTGATACTAAGTTCAGGTTTTAATGCAACTGTTTGGAGTTCCAGGCTGCTTAGACAAGAAAAGCAATGTAAATATACTTGTTTTTTAATGCAGGGTGTGGGGTGAAAGGTATGTTTTGAGACATGGCATAAAAAGTTTCTATGAATTTCAAGGTTTACTGTAAACCAGAAAAAACCTCACTAACTTGATATCAAGCTGGAGAAAAAATATTTTTCTCTCCCAGGAGTGACAAAAAATTAATTTCAATTAATTAGAATCAAATTTTCAAGCAAAAAGGTAAGGACAAGTAGGTCAAATATCAACCAAGAATTATTCTTTAATTTAACACCAACTTCCTTGTTGTAAAATTATTTATTGCAAACAGTGTAAGGAATTAATGTTCTGATCAAAGGAGGTGAAAGGGTGACAGATTGTAGCAGTCAATGTCCATTTTTCTCATAGCCTGTAAGATGCTAGCAGGCTAAGTTCCCTGCTGTTTCTTTTTTTAGGAGACAAGCACTGCCACTTCAGCCAGTCAGCCTAAAAAAGACGCTGAAGCAAGCAATAAGACTCAGCCAATGATTACTGTTGATAACAACGGAACATCAGAAACCAACAAAGAAGTTGAAATGTCAGCCATTAAGTCATCTGGTGTGGTGAAGGATGTTGTTATACCAAACCAAGAAGCAACAGCATAGTGAGATGGTAGCTAAGGCCATCAGCATCAAAACATACTGGAGTAAGAAATGTCCAGACCAGCTTGGATTGTTTAAACTTTTTTTTTTAACACTTAACCGTTGAACCCCTAAGAGTGATAGGTTGCATGTAATTTCTCCAAACTGTATCACCTCTGAATCAAATGTAAGGAAATAATCACTGATAAAAACAATCCTTAACTAATAATAAAAGAAGTTTTCCTTGTCAGGGGTACCGGCAAATTCAAGTTTTGAGAAGGAGGAGGGATGGGGTCCAGGTCGAACCTTTGATTTAGAATATAAAGACATTTTTTTTGTACATATGGCAACTAGAGAGGAGAATCACTACCAAGCAGATCGGTTGGTTTAAGGGCTGTCAGGAGAGATGGTTCTGATTTAACCTTTTAAATCTTAAGAGTGATCAAGGTTTAATTTCTCCCAACAATATCACCCCTGAATCACACATAATGGTCATGAGAATATAGGAAATGATCACCAACAAGATAAGCTCTTGATTGTTAAACGAATTCTCCTGATCATCACCTTTTAAATTGTATAAAGAACAGTACAGAGAATATGTATAGTGATCTTAGATTGTAAAGGGTTAAAAGTTAACTCTTCAGAGGAGAAGTGATGGAAATGCCTTGTTGATGGAAGGGAGAATTTTGGTTTCTAGCTTGTAATTCATGAGGTCCTGATTGCCACTGTGTGAACCAAACATGGCAATTCCAGTATATATGTAATTTTTTTAACTATTCCTTAAGTTGTAGTGTGGGCTTGTTAATTTTCAAATGATATTTTTCAATTGAAAATAAATCTAATTTGCTCCTTGTAGCTGGTGTTGTAGCTTAATGGTAAATCACGTAAGTGCGAAAAGATTCAATTTGAGAAAAAACTAGGCAGGTTATGAAATTTATAATTAATTCAACTCAATTCATTACCATTAAGGTTAGGAGTGGGCAGAATCTTATACAATTGTACGTGCGATTTTCTGAGTAACAATAAATAAGGTAGATCATCTTAGGTCTGTTGGCCTGCCTTTACTTTAAATTGATTTTGTCAAGGTTTTACTAAACCTTTTGAAGAAATAAAAAAAAGCATTACACTCTATAAGAAGGAATTGTGACTAAATGTTTTCGTTTTCGCCACCTGGGTAGCTCTTGTTGTAGAGAGCCGGAGTGCCGTGTGGGAGGTCGAGGGTTTAAGCCCCAGGACCGGAGGAACATTTGGGGTCTTAAAGTAACTAATGAGGATGTGCTGCCTTTGATATGACATCTGCAAATGGTTGGAAATTCTAGTCTTCTCACATAAGGACAAAAAGGCCCCGTCTCCTGCAACTTCTTTGTACCGGTTAGCAGGAGACTTTAAAGAACCCTCACTCTTGAGGTGACTGAACACAGTTTTTGATACCTGTGTTTCTTCACCATTTTCTCTAAAACCCTTGATCTCTAGGTTGCCAAAACTGGCAGGAAGCAAGTTAACACAAACTTTGTTTTTTTTTTGTTAGTTAAGTTAACGTGTGTGGTTGCCATGGCAACATGAATAAATATAAACAGGCCTTTAAAATCGGTTTTGTTTATTTGTAGAAAATCTAATCATTAGATTTTCTTTATAATTTGCATGCAACAAGCTTGTAACGATACTCACAAGCTAACACCATTTTGTTAACAATTTAACAGAGATATCCCTTGATGAAGGTTCACTCAATTATCTAGAATTTCCTTCGTTAAAAATCAATTTGTTCTCAGGACTCCGGTTATTTATTTCCTAAAGTATTTTTCTGCCAAATTTCGTGAAATTCTAATGAGAGGTTCTCATGAAATAGGCATATTTGCGAGAAAGCAATTTTCCATTCGATCGCAA